TCCTCCTCCTCCTCCCCCTGCTCCTCCTCCTCCTCCTCCTAATGCTCCCTTCGTCGGTGCGCGCCTCGCTCCGGCGTCTGGACGAGGCAGGGCTGGACCTAAACGTTGTTTTTCGTGTTGTTGTTCGTTTTTGAATATCGTTGAATCGATCCCCATCCCCAGCCGCGTGGCCTGGGTCTCACTGACCGATTTACCCCCCTAGATGGGGATATAGGTCGTGTCCTGCGGGTTTCGAAGGGTGTATCCCAAAACTGGGGTGGTAATTTGGTGGGGGTCTCGAAGGGGATGGGGATGGGGATGGCGATGGGGATTGGTGAAACGATACTGAGTTTTGCTCTGTCTGCTCTCCTGTACCTCCCTGCCAAGACGAAAAAACAGAGCACAGCCGAAGCCCACCAGAACAGCGTTTGGGTCCAGCCCCAGTGCTCACCTCGCTCCGAGGTCTTGACGAGGACCGCACGTGCATGCACGTGCCGCACAGTCGGACGCAGATGCCCGCGCAACTCTGCAAGCACCTCCACACTGTGTGGCCTCACATGCACGCGCGTGTCGTACGGTCCGATGCACGGGTCGGAGGCGCAGTCTGAAGACACTTCGAAGGCATGACCGCACGTGCCCGCATATGCCGCAGAGTCGAAGATTCGGGAGGGGATGAAGGAAGAAGGCTAGATGGAACATGAATGAGCAAACGACAAGAGCGGAGGAACGAGTGAAGGCATCAAGGAGGGGGTAATGCTGTGCAGATGGGGAATGGGAGAAGAAGGAGAGTTATAGCCATATATAGACAGAGCCCAGCCTCCCACCATACCATATAAGTTTGAGAGCAAAGGTGGCCGGCCAGACGACCTCGAGTGCGGCATCTCGGATGCCCAGAGCTGCGAGGGTGCCACAAGCGAAACCAGCAAGACCACTTCTCGCGCAGCATCTCGGAGCCCAGAGTTAAGAGGAAGTCTCGGGCGAGACTGGCGAGACAACCTCAGGTCAGGGCATAATCATCCGAGCTCGGGCTGCAAGGAAGTCTGAGGCGAAACTGACAAGACTTGGGGGGCCCAGAGACACACAAAGAAAAACAAGCACCCCCGGATTCCCCATAATTTGTATTACTTTCCGAGGTGCTCGTCTTCCCAACCCACTTCCCATATGTTACCACATTTCCAGAGAAGTCGACGATTAATTGTGTCTGTGTTTCCCCCCCCTGCAGACCACCTTGGGCCCAGAATCGCGAGGATGCTTCGGGCGAAACGGGCCCAACCTCCTCAGGTCAGATCGCGACGATGTCTCAGACGAAACTGGCTGGACCACCTTGTACGCGGCATCTCCGAGCCCAGAGTTGCGAGGATCCCGAAACTGGGAAGCCCCCGAGAATCGGCGAGAACGTCCGAAAACCTCAAACCTCGAAACTTCGTTGGTCGCCTTGAGCAAGGACCGACCGTCCCAGCAATCTCGGAGGGCACGAAAGGATAGGATAGCAACGGGCAGCGTAGGGAATCAGCTCACGTAACTGATTTGTATGGCGGCTCTTAGCGCCCGAAGGCGCCCATGTATCGAAGAATGGGCCCAGGGGGGCGGAAACCAGCTGCATGCAACAAATGTCGTATCCCCCCTTTCCCTATCCCCCCCTTCCGTCCGGCCCGACAGTCAGATTGGCCTACAGCATGCTCTTAGAACAAGAGCATGTCCAAACAACAAGCCAATACTTTCAAGACGGTCTCAGCCAGAAATCTTCTGAAAACACTTCGCGCAAACCACGAACTGTCCTCCGACCATCCCTGGTATGCCTACAAGGAAGCCGGACGGTAAGCGGCCTCTGATTCTGGGTTTCGACATTCGGCCGAAGGGTGGAGGAGGGGGGTCTGGGTCTGGGCTGGTGCTTAGTCGATCCGCTTTCACCAGTCGCGCCAGTAGACTGGGGGGGGAGGGGCCCCGACCAATCGCCCAAAGCAGCCGCCAGAAAGTAGACCAGATCCGGTCTATGCTTACCAGCCTGGAACACATTCCTATCCCTATGCTGGGCATATCCTCATCACGATGCCAATCTTAGGGATTCCGTTATTTTTGTCATCGCCTTTTGGCGTGTCAATCTTAGGGATAGGGATGAGTTCGAGGCTGGTAATATGCATGAGGAGGGGAGGGGAAAGGCCAGGGGCGTGCGCCGATGTGCGAAACAAAGAAGTACCAACAACGGCGACAAGCCAGCCAGAACGTCTCGCCACTGCTTCACTGGGAGACCACCAGGCACCGATACCGCTACTCCCCGGACCTCTCCCAGGGTGCGTTCTGACCAGGACATCGAGGCGAACCCAGAGGTGGCGACGAGGGCCTCGCAGGAGGCCCCCAAAGGGGAGAACCAGTGAAGGGCAGCAGTATGGATACATATTCCTCCTCTGGCTTCTTCATCTCAGCTGGCCCTCTCTGCGACATCCTCGCGGGCGGGGACTGGCCGTCCCGGCATTCCAATAGGCCTATCACGACATGTTCTTATAACCCTCAGATGTTCCAACAACACAAACAGCGTTCTCAGAACATGAACCCGATGTGTCAAAACAGGACGGTCTGAGCCAGAACTGTTCCAAGAACATGTCGTGCACACCCTTAAAATGGTTTTAGAACATTATTTGGTGGTCCTATGATTATGTTGCTCCCACCTCCCAGAAAATCATTTCGAGCACCCGGGAAATAATCGAAAGAGTGTCGAAGCAGTGTCGAAAGAGCGTCGAGCGAGTGCCTCCCAGAGCGAGACAGGTCAGAACCCTCGAGTTTCGGTTCCTCTCTGGTGCTCGAAATTATTCCTGGTGATCCAGGCTAAAGAACATCACAAGCCTGCAGCCGAGACAGGACGCTTCGCCACTGCTTGAGTGACTGGCCGTGCCAAGCGCCTCCGCGGCCGGCCCCAGGCGCTGCGCGCCGCGGGCGGCTGCCGGTGGCCCCTCCGGCGAGAGCAGCGCGCTGCTGCCCGTGGCGGTCAGATCCCCCGGCGTCCCTGGCGGTCGGGCGGAGGAGGGCTCCTCCTCCTCCTCCTCCTCCTCCTCCTCCTCCTCGTCCAGCTGCTCCTCCCCCTCCTCCTCCTCCTCCTGCTCCTCCTCCTCCTCCTCCTCCTCCTTGTTCCTCCTCTTTTTCCTCCTCCTCCTCTTGTTCATCCTCCTCCTCCTCTTCCAGCTGCTCCTCCTCCTCCTCCTCCTCCTACTCCTATCCTCCTCCCAGCTGCTCCTACTCTCCTCCTCCTCCCTCCTCCCTCCTCCTTCTCCTTCTTCCTCATCCTCCTCTTCCTCCTCCCTCCGCCTTCTCCTTACTACTCCTTTCTCCTCTTTCTCCTTTTTGTTTCCTCCTCCTCCTCCCTCCTCCTCTGTCTCCTCTGTTTTTTTCCTCCTCCTCCACCTCCTCCTCCTCCTCCTCCTCCTCCTCCTCCTCCTCCTCCTCCTCCCCTGGCGTGCACCGTGCCTGGGTTGTGGTTCAGAGACAACATCTTGAATGCTCGCTGCGGTCTTCTGGGAGGCTTCCGGAGAGCCTCTTGGAGGCCATCTTGGCCTCTTTGGACGTCTTTTGGGCCCCTCGGCGTCCCTGGCGGTGGGGCAGAGGGGGGCTCGGGGTAGGTCGGGCAGGTTCTCCAACAGGCGGATTTCGGAAGACGAATAAAGCATAGTAGAGCAAGGATCAAACACAAAGAATCAATACATACTCGAGAAATCGTCCCCCAGACTATTTTTTGACTGTTCTTGAACATTCCTCCTATATCGGGGATCTTCTGACCCGGGTCAATCCAGACCCGGGTCAGCAGGAAACAAATATCTGCAATGCAGGAAAAGACTGCAACGCAGGTCTTCGCAAATCTGGGTCAGCCAATAGGCGCGGCCGCCTCGCGACCACGAGCGGCTCGCTAACCCGGGTCAGTCAGAGGGGGTCTTCGCAGGATCCTGCAGGATCCGGCGCCCTGGCTGACCCCCGTTTGCATTGACCCCCGTCTCAAAGCTCCCGAGGGACATGCCCGACTCGCACGGCGCGCGCGCCGGGGTCTTGAGCACGGAGGCGCGCCTTCGGGGGGGGGAGCCGGCTCCAGACTCCACGGGCCCTCGGCGGCGTTCCAGCGTCGGGATGCTCTCCAGCAGCTGCTCCTCGCCGAGAGCTTCCCTTAAGGGGCCCCAGGACACACAAATAAATACACACAAATAAAAAGATTCCCCATGTTTTCCCATATTTCCTGGGTTTCTGTCTCCCCACCCACTTCCCATATCTTCTGGGGAATCGAGGATTAACCGTGTCTGTGTGTTTTTTCCTCTCCTGATTCCCAGGGGTGCCCGAAGCGTCCCGAAGACGTGCGCAGTTTTAGCTCGGGCGGTTCAGTATGTCGCGAGTCAGGCTGAGCCCCCGTTCGTGCCTGTGCTGGACCTCGCCGGAGACTCATGGCGAGGCCCACTCTTTCCCTTCTCGCCCACGGCCTCGAGGAGGCGGAGAGCGGGGGGGCGAGGCGCACTTGGCGCCACCGCCCTGGCAAGACTCCGCTCGCTCAGGCGAAGTTGGAGCAGCCTGGAGAGCGGTGCGAGCCGACGCCACTGCATCTGTTCCTGGCTGCGGTGAGAGCTGAACGACACAATGGCCGCCTCCCAAGGGGCACGAAGTGCTGCTGTCTCTCCTGCCTTGCAGGAGCTGGGCTTCACCTATGGTGGCTGGCATGCGCCGGCGCTGGAAGCCTTCGAGTTTCGTGGCCGCGTTGTCCATGCCACGCCTAAGTATCTGATGTGCCGACGCTGCGGCGCTCGCTTCTCCATCGAGACACCAGTCTGGCGAGGGTTGCTCGCCGTGTGCCAAGGCCAGGCAGAGCGAGCCTCCGTGCAGTCTTGGCGCATTGCAGCTTCTCTTTCGGGACGCGAGGCCCGCTTGGTGGCGACGTGGCCAACTGGCAGCGGCTGATGCCGCAAGGCTGCTTGCTAGCCAACGTAGCCCCGTAGCGGCCCCCGTCCTGTGCGCACGGCGCAGGACCATTGCGCTGGGGGCCCAGCCCGCGCCCCTGCTCCTTGCCCGCTCCTTGTCCGCCTGCCCTCATTCGAATCGGATGCTGTGCCTCGGCCTGATCCCTGAGCCCTTCGGGGAGGAATTCTCAGTGCCCCTTAGAAATAGACACCCCCTGCCCACTCGACCGGCGACGAGTCAGGGTCAGTGAAGCCCCTCCCCAGCCACCCCTGTCAACCAAAACGCGCCAAGTGCACGTTGCGGCAAAAATATGGGCCATGCTCAAGGGGGGGGGAGGCCGCGAGCACCTTGCACGGTTGTTTAGCAGAAGACGGCGGGGGCGCTAGCATATGGCATGCTGCGCGCAAGGCCACCATCCCTGCGAGCAAAAACCATGACAAACTGCACTTTGCGGCTGCTACGTCTGGATCACGCGCGGCACCCCGCATTCACTTTGCATCGGTTTTGACAAAGGCGGCAACGGTGTTGGCATACAGTCACCGGCCTGACCTACGGAACGATGAATAAGGAACGAAGCCCCTATGTTTTCCAAGTAAGTCTACGAAATCCGAGAGAACGGCCGAGCCCCTTTCTAAATAACTGCGTTCCGCCACGATTTGCTCTTGCGATTCGGCCCCCGCACCTTCTGCCAAACTGCCAAGGAACGCCCGTCGCCTCCTCCCCCCGCCGCTCCAACATCCCACGCAAAAGCGCAGCCTGCGAGCGACGCACTAGGAGCGCCAAGGGCTCGGGCTAGGAGCTGGGCCTTAACGTGACCACTTTCCGAGTCGGTTCCGCGCGTGAGCCCCCGCTCGCACCGCGCAAGAAACGCCCAGGGCTCGCGTGGGGGCCTGGGCCTGACGGCGAGCACTTTCCGAGTCGCTTCCGCGCGCGAGCCCCCACCCGCGCCGCGCCAGGGACGCCGGGGGCTGGCTTGCGCGGGACCGCCGTCGCACTGCGTCGAGCAAGCGCGAAGAACCGAGCCCGTCTTGGCGCCCCGTTCCTTAGACCAGCCGCCCTCCTCGACAGAACGGACCCGCGCGTCCAAAAGCTGAAAGAACACCAGGGGGGGCTCGCCGCCAAAAAAGTAGCGGAACGCATGCAAACCCAATGGGCGACCGAGTCCCTTTTGAAACATAAGAATTCCTTACGCAGGCCGCTCGCTGTACTGCCTGCCGTGTGCAACCCCAACAGACAGCATGACGACCGCGCGCGATTGTGCGCCGGCTGTCGGCAAGGATTGCTGGGTTGATATGTTTCCCGATGCGCGCGGGCGCGTCTGGTGCATTCTGCGCGTGCTCCGAACGTGCCGCACCTGGCGCAGCTGGGGCATGCGGCACACGTGGCGAACGCGGAGTGGGCGCCAGAGATGCACGGCGCAACTGGCGTCTCCACGCCGTCGCGCACATGGTTTCTCTGTTGGTTCCCAGTAGCTGCCCATCCAAACACGACCGCTGAACATGCAGAGGCTCGGGCGCGACTCGTGTGTTGGGAGGGCGGGTGGGAGTGACCGAGACGGCTTGCGGGCGGGAGCGGTGTCTTGATCATGGTTCCCTATTTAAAAACACCGTCTCCCCCAGGCGACTGGCATCCAACCAGGACCCTTGAGGACCACCTCCCACCATCCCTTGTCAAAAAACAATGCAACATGCACTTGCCTCCAAGTCTGGAGCATGCGCGGGCGCCCCGCGACCACCTTGCATTAGTTCTTGACAAAGACGGCGGGGGTGCAAGCATATTGATTGCCTCGCGCAGGCCAGTCATCCGTCAAAACAACAACACAAAGTACACTGTGCCTCCAAATCACGAGCACACACAGGCGCCCCGCGACAACCTTCGTTTGGTTTCTGACAAGGATGGCGGGGGATGCACGAACTCTTTCTCATCGCTTTTGGCTGGGATGGCGTGGCGACAAACTGAGTCCAGCGAGAATGTGCCCCTGCTTCTCCAAATTCGCCCAGCTGGCGACATCCTCCGTGTACTCTTCCAGGGGGCGCTCTTTCCTCTTGGAGCTCTCATGTGTGTCCGCGACTCCTCAATAAGGGCTCCCAACTTCGCGCTTCGCGCTGCGCGAAGCGCGAAGCGCGAATAACTTCGCGCTCTCGCGCCGCCCTCCCAAAGGGAGAATAGGAGGACGAGGAGGAGGGGGAGAAGGAACGAGGACCGCGAAGCGCGAAGCGCGAATAACTTCGCGCCCTCGGGGGAGCCCTTGCCTCTTTGAGGCCGGGGGCCCAGGCCCCTGGGGTCCCCATTGGTTTCCCCTAGCTGACGCACCTGGCGCGGCTAGAACTCGTGGCACAGTTGGCGCACGTGGGGCACGAGCCGCACCAGGCGCGCCTGGCTCGCTTCGGCCTCCAGTGTGCCTCGCGCGTGGCATGTGTGGCGCTCCTAGGCGATATGCTGACACTCGGGTGTTACAGATGTGGTGGGAGGGCGGGTGGGAATGAGCTAGACGGCTTGCTATCTAGGAGGGGAACTTGGCCCCTCCACCTACACCTTCCCCTGGATTATGGACTATGGATTGGCCTGCCTCCGAAGAAGCAGGTCCGAAACACCTTCCCCTGGATCTGGACAGAGGGGGTTCGCGGCACATTGGAGCGTCCAAGATGGTCTCGGCGGCAAGGCACGTTCATTGATGTTGCATAGGTTCGGGGCCGACTCTGGCATCCTGTGCCCACCTTTTGATGGCCCAAAGGTGGCCCCCAATGCTTACACGAGTATCCCAAGAGGGCCCAAAGAGGCGCCCAGGAGATCACAAGATGCCCCCCAAAAGACTCTGCTTTGTTCCGCCCGAATCAGAACTCACCCGTTGAAATTTACACGTTTAGCTTCACTTGGTTAATGTCATACGATTCTAACTTAGGGTCGCCTACTTTCACATTCGTCCGGGCTTCATTCGCCAACATGCATTCCTGCTTTAATTCGCCCTGCTTGCATTCATCATGTTCTCATTCGCCCGTTTCAATTCGCCCTGTCAACTCATTCTCCTGAACACGTTCGGCTTTACCACGCCCAAATTTAATTAATCTGGCTATACCTCGCCCAATGTCAATCCATTCGGTTTTAATTCAGCTGGTTTGAATGTACCCAATCTATATGCATCCTGTTTTCATCCGCCGGGTTTCAATTAATCTGGTTTTGATTCGCCAAGTGTGAGTTCATCCAGTGTAGTTTCGCCCTATTGAGATTCATCAGATTTTCATGCGCCCATGTCAGTTCGCCCTGTCAACTGATCCTCCTGGAGACGTTCGGCTGCAGTTCGACCGCTTTGAATTCATCCAGTCTTGATTTGCCCTCTTAATATGGATCTGGATTTGTTTCGCGCGGTTTGCATACGAAGACACGCAAAGCGGAAACGGGCGAAACCAAATCGGACGGTAACAAAAGCAGACGGAAATACAGGGGACGAAACAAAAGCGGACGAAACAGAAGGCGGGCGAAACGAAAACGGATGAAACAAAATGCAGGCGAAACAAAAACAGGCGAAACAAAAGCGGACAAACAAAAGTGGAGAAAGCAAAAGCGAGCGAAACAGATGCGGATGAAACAAAAGCGGGAAACAACACTCCTCTCCTAAGAGGTCCCCAACAGGCTTCCAAGCGACCCCCAAGAGGCTCCCCTAAGGCGCCCAAGACGCTCCAAGAGGCCCCAGGGACTGCCAAGAGGCCCCCAAGACGCGCCAAGAGCATTCCAAAAAGGTCTCAAGAGACATCCGAAGAGACTCCAAGAGGCATCCAAGAGGCCTCTGGCCGTTGTGTTCGTCCTCCTCCTCCTCCCCTTCCTCCTCCGCCTCTTCCTCATTCGCCTATTCCTCCCTGCTCCCTCCTCCTCCTCCTTCCTCCTCCTCCCCCTCCCCCTCCCCCTTCTCCTCCTCCTCCTCCTCCTTCTCCGATTCCTCCTCCATTCTCCCGCTCTTGAGGATACGAAGGCTCCCCCAGCCCTCCACTCCACTGCATGCCCCTCCGCATCCCGGATCCGGGCAACTCGCCCGGGAATCGTCCCCGGATGGGCTGGTGGGGTTACGAGAAACATCGCGTCTGGGGTCTCCGAGAGCGCGCGGGTCTGGAGGATGCAGCGCGTCACGGCCGGTCCCCGAGCGCTCCGCAGCGGTCTGGGAGCGTTCCGGCTTGCTCTGGAGCGACTATCGGAGCAGGCCGAGTTGAGACATCGGCTTCTCTCGGCGGCGAGCGAGGGGGGGAAATGAGGAGGCAAAGGCCTTCTCAGAGGGCGGCGAGCCTTCTCGAAAGCCCTCGCGCCTTCTGAGAAACGTTCTGTGGATACGGGGAAGGCTTAGCACACTTCTCAGAAGGCCGGGGGACTTCCGAGCCTTCTGAGAAGGCCCACCCCTTCTTGAGCAGGGGCCGACCGTCCCGGCATTCCTATAGGCCTACCACGAGATGTTCTTAGAACCCGGAAATGTTCCAATAACAACATCAGTGTTCTTAGAACATACGCCCGACGTGTTAAAACAAGACAGCCCCAGCCAGAAATGTTCTAAGAACACTTCGTGGAAACCAGAAAGGGTTCGTAGAACATTGTTTGCTAGGCCTAATCGCCGGCGGTTATTAAACCTCCCTTTAGTGAAAACGGCCTGGGACCGAAACCGACGGACCTGGAACCGCAAATGACGGCCGCGACGCCCTCTCACGAACCGAAAACGGCCAATTCGCCAATCGACATGTCAGAGTAGGAGGTCCACCAACCTCCGATATAGGCACGCCAGGACACTTCGCCACTGCTTGACCTTCTCACTTCTCTCCCAAGCTCACCGCCGATTCTCACGGCACCCGGATTCCTCCTGGGGCCACCGAAAAAACGCAGCAGACTTTTTCCGAGCTGCATCCAGAAATTATCTCCACTCGCCCTCCCCTGATGTTATGTTGCTCCCATCGTACTTCAGCACTTCATCCCAGAACTAATTTCGAGCACCCGGAAAAGTGCCGAAAGAGTATCGAAATACTGTCGAAATGATATCGTAGCAGGGCACGAGACGTGAAAACTCTAGAGTTTTTGGATACATATCTGGCGCTCGACATTCTTTCTGGTGGTCAAGGCTAAAGTAGGCTGAAACATCATAACCCTGATGTGTAATACATCCAGCCCCCCCCCGACCGACGACGCCAGGCGCCCCCCCCCCCCCCCGCGAAGAGGAACGAAAAACTGCGTGACAATAAACTTTCGGAGGTGCGCGCGGAGTTCATGGATCGGCGCTGGACCCCCCTCCCTAGCGCGTGGAGCGCGCCACGGGGCGGGGCCAGAGGCGCCGCCAGGTGGGCCGAGCGCCGATTCCACAAATCTCCGCGGGGGTTGGTGCGCAGTTGGCGAGGCACATGTAGTAGCATCCACCATCGACCTCTGCAGAACACGCTGTCCCTGCGAGGCGACCCCCGCACGGGGGGGGCCCTTCGGTGCCCGCCGTGCCCCTGCCAAAACCTTCTTCGGCGCACGCAATCTCCAAGGCCGGGTCGCCTCTCAGAAGTGGACGCGGCGCTGCATCGCACGCTACCGCTGCAATCACAACCATATGCCGCGCTTCCTTCTCTGGTAGGCGAGCACGAAAAAACATTCACGCAGACTTTCAGAGGTCCGCGAGGACCTGCAAAAGACTATGTTCATGGGGGGGTCAGGAGATATCAATGTAGCTAGTCCCCAGACCGCTCCCAGGGTGCACTTTGACTAACACTTCGAGGCAGACCCAGCCGTGGCGACGAGGACCTCCCAGAAGGCCCAACGAGGGGAAAACGAGGGAAGAGTAGCAGAATGGGTACCGCCTCCTCATCTGAGAACTGACGATTGGGGGTTGATGCACCCGTCCCTGAACATGCCCACCCCGTCGCCCCCGTGCCCGCTGTTTGGGCGAGGACTCAGGCCGCCTCGGGCGGCCGCTCGGAACGATCCCGCCAGCCCTGGAAGGCTCTCGGCAGGCCGCAGCTGCTGGAGAGTATCCCTCCTCCTCCTCGTCGTCGTCGCCCTCCTCGTCCTCCTCGTCCTGCTCCTCCCTCTCCTCTTCTTCGACTCTGGACTGCGGCCGCGCGCGCCGCCTGTGGTTGTGGTGCTCAGGTCCACCGCCGCGCTGGCGCCCTCCTTAGAGGCCTCCTGGATGGGGTCCGAGCAGATGGGGTCGGAGGATGACGCCGCATCGGCGACGCGTCGGCGACGCATCGGCGATGCATCGGCGACGCATCGGTGATGCATCGGCGACGCATCGGCGCCGTCAGCGTGGAGAAACTCGGGCTCCCAACTCGGCGTGGGAAAAAAAACATGTCGGTCGGAAGGAATTGGTAAAACATGATGTGGGAGGGCGGATACAAAGCAGATTGGGTCTGGGCCCTCCCAGAGCATATCGAAACACACAGCAGAGGCACATCGATGAATGAGAAATGAAAGGCGCTTGAAGTACAGTCATCGGCGTGATCTAAGGAACGATAAATAAGGAACGAGCCCGTTTTTTTATCCCAAGGAATAACGCATAAGGAACGATAAATAACACATGGTGCATTAAGGAACTGTAAATAACGCATGCAAGCCTAAGGAACGACCGAGCCCCTTTTGAAAAGTAAGCGTTCCTTATTCAAGCCGCTCACTGCAGGTGAGGATCTGGGCATCCCAGAAATACCTACTTTCTCAACGACCGGCGGGTGCGTGTTCGACCATGGACCCCTTGTGTTGTTGCCCATCTGCCTCGGGCGGTCTTCTCGGCGGTCTGCCAACGGTCTTCCGCGGTCTCCCAGCGGTCTTCGGCGGTTGTCCGCGGCCTTCGGCGGTTTCCCGCGGTCTTCGGCGCGAAAACTGGATGCTCACGGTGAACCTGGGGACACCTAAAAAAGGGATGCGTCAAGAGGGCAGGCAGATCCCGCATGGCTACAGGGCAAGTCCTGCACAGGACACGGGAAGGAAGATAGCTGGCAGAACTTGCGTACAACGCACACCCACGCGCACGCGGCAAGACCACAGAACGCACCACCAACACGACGTCACACAGCACAACACAAGCACACACACACACACCACACGCACGCACGCACACACACGCGGGCGCACACACACACACACACACACACACACACACACACACACACACACGCACGCACGCACGCACGCACGCACGCACGCAAACGCGCGAACGTCCTCACTCAGACACCATCCGTCGACCTGCAAGCCCTCACTCAGACGCCGTCCGTGGAAAGCATGCAGGAGGGGGTTTCGCAAACCATGGCCCGAGGAGTGTGCGCGGACGAAGTGGTGAGCAGGGGACGTGCTGAAAGACGAAGAGGGACCATGACATCTGGGGAGGTACCATGGCCACCGCAACGATATCCAACCCTCCCTGGCCATCACTCCCGTCTTAGCCGCGCCCAACCATGCTGAGGGGGAACTGCAGGAGGCAACTCCTGGGAGGCCTTCGCAAGAAGGATTGGAGGCTATGAGGCCCGATTGAGGGGCCCTTCGGCCGGACTCATCCAAATGAAGCCCAGGATGAAGCGCACGATTACACCGCACCACTCGCCATCGCTCGGACGTCCATTCCCTGTGCTTCTTTTGGTTTCGTGCGTGTTTTTTTCGCCAAATGATCGAGGATGCTCCTCGATAGTCCCCGCCGAAGAAAAACAGGCACACGTCCGAGCGATACCAAGACCAGACGGGATTGCCCAGAACCAAGCGGGCCGATGCCGGATCAGGCCACCTTCGACCACGGATACAGTCGGGGCGTTGACCTAAGGAACCCTAAATAAGGAACGAGCCCCCTATTTTCCATAAGTTAAACTTCGATTTCATATCGAAGCCCTAAGCAAAACCAAAGGCGAACTGCAAAACAACTAAGGAACACCGAGCCCCTCCCCAACGATAAGGGTTCCTTCCTCAGGGCCCCGACTGTATACCGGCGCCGATGCTGATTCTAACCTCCCAGGAGTTGCATCCTAATGAACGTTAGTTAGGGGGGGAGCGGCTCAGGCGGGAAACAGCGAGCCAGAATCGGCGATGCATCACATATAGATCGGCGACAGGCCCTGGATCGCGAATACGCATGTACGTGGGCAGGGTGGGCAAGCGGATGTGAGAGTAGAGAGCAACCAATCCACCCTCATAAGGATCACCCCGACACGCGAAGCCGTTTAGTAAATGACCCAAGAGATGGAAACGACAGGGCAGGGGACGTTTAATAAACGCCCAGGGCCGTTTCGTAAACCAAGTGTGTTCTTCTCCCTGGATACCCATCGGTCGGACGAAGTAGGTATAAGCATGAAGTAGGAAGCATGAAGGAAGTATATTGGCGTCCGCCCATCCCCTGAAGAGGACGGCAAAGGGAAAGCCACTCGATCATGAAGCAGGAAGGCGCTAAGACTAGATTGGAATCTGGGATTCTAAAAATACCTACTCCGAGTTTCTTCAGAGGCGTCGAGGGGGCGTCATCCCCGCCGACAGGCTCGCACCGACCACCGTCGCGGACAGCCACCGCGCGCCCCGAAGGCGCTCGGACCCCCGTCGCGGTGCGACGACGAGGCGAGGTTGACCACCATCGGGGGGGTCCCCCCCCCACGCTCCCTCCTCTTGTTCTGCTGCTTCACATTTGATTATCTGGGTGCGCACATTCTTTCTGCATCGACATGTTCTCCCGAGGAGGTGCCACTCGCGCACTCTTCTGCCCACGCGTCCTTCAGGATGCTTGGCTCTGTGGTGTGGTGGTGGTGGAAAGCACTTTCCACGGCCGATGGGAGGCGGCCTCCTATATCGGCGAGGAGGGTGCGGCGCCCTCCCTCTGGAGCCTGTTCCCCCCCAAACTAACGTGGCCCCTGGCATCTGGTCGGGCATGTCCTCCTGCAGGCGGATTTTGGAAGCAAGACCGAAAGCAACAAACAAGCTCAAACGCAATCGAACAGTGCTCGGAAATTCGCCCCAGTACCCTCTGTTCCCCTGTCTGAGAATTCCTATTGCAGAGGGACGTGCCCGACGCCACCCGGGCATGCACACGAGGCCAGCCTCGCGCTGCGGACGCCCGGCGGCAGGGCACACTGCCTCGAAGCCCCCGAGGATGCCCGTGCGCGAGCGTCTGCTCCCGGAAACTGGGCGAGGGCCGGCATCCGGGTCGGGCACGTCGCCCTCCAGGCGGATCTTGGACGAACAATCAACAATGGTCAGATAAACCTGCAGAATATAGGCAAACATCATGGAAACACCGCCATCGGACTATTTTCTGGATGTGCCGCGGTGCGTGCCGGGCGGCGCGGTGCAGATGAGCCTGTAGGCAGCTGAGCTGTGCGCTCTCAGGGTGCTCCTCCCTCTGGTCCCCCTCGTCTTCCTCCCTCGGCTACACGTAAGAGTGACCCTGGGTAAGAGTGACCTTCGGTGCGCGGCTTTTGGGGGGCCGTGGGGAGGCCAAATCTAGGCGCGCTAGCCGCTGCTACCGCTTCGCGTTCGGCCATCTGGGGGCCCATCAGTGCCCGCCCTAAAGGTCACTCCGGCGAAAGGTCACTCTTACGTCTAGTCGACTCCCGCTGGCCGCGTCGCCCTCCTCTCCCCCAGCTGCGCTTCCCTCTGAACGGTCACGAACATTCTGCCGCCTCTGCGCAGGCGGCCGCTGCATCTTCACACGCCGAGGGCGGAAAAATCAGCCAGCCCGCCAGAGGCCTCCCACGGAAGTCCCACAGGAGGCCTCGCGGTGGTCCCCGCGGGGAGCCTCCATGTGGAGGTCCCAGCGGAGGCCTCGTGAAGGAGTGAACACGGCCCACAGCACCCAAGAACCTCAATCCTCCTCCTCATCCTCGCGACCAGTCAACTGCGTGGGATTCGGGCGGCGTTAACTTTGATAGATTTTCTCGGAGGAGTCCTGCCCACGTGAGACATCCCACGGCTATTGCATCCCATCGGCGTGGCACCCCGCCGGCAGATGTGAGCTTGACTCGCGCATTCAGGGACGACCGAACCGAATCTCCTCCTCCTCTCCTCGCCCACCAGCCACAACTTGGGAAGCTCTGTTACTCATCTCCCTGGGGGGAAACCACCCTACCGACGTTCTCTTGAGGGGCGTCGAATCGCTCCCAGGTGGGCCTCCGAGACAGAACGCACACAGTAATGTAAGCATTTCACATGGCCTGGTCGGCTCGCTGCGTTGGCCTGCTCCCGAGCGGCCACCCGAACTGATGGGCCCCCCGGGAGGGCAAGGACCACACAAACCCCTCAAGTTGCGGTTCATTGGTGTGCCTCGCTCCTCGATCGAGTCCACCGCTGCGCTGGCGCCCGCCGCAGGGCCGCCATCCGCCGCCACGCTGGCGATGGCAGCGTCCCCTGGGGCGGCTGGCGCCTCGATCGGAGCCGCCGCCGCGCCCACACCGGCCGAGCTGGCGCGGGCACCGTCCCGCGGAGCGGCGCGCTCCTCGATCGGGGCCGCCGCTGCGCTGCTGGCGCCCGCCGCGGGGCCGGCGTCCGCCGCCGCGCTGGCGCCGGCGGCGTCCTCCGCGGCGGCTCGCGCCTCGAGCGGGGCCGCCGCTGCGCTGCCGGCCCCCGCAGCCGCGCCGGCGTGGTCGGCCGGGGCGGCTCGCGCCTCGATCGGGTCCGCTGCTGCGCTGCCGGCGCCCGCCGCCGCCCCGAGCCCCGCCGCCGCGCTGGCGCCGGGGGGGTCCCCCGGGGCGACGTCGCTGGCGTCGGAGTCGGAGGCGGACCTCGCGGCGGGCGTTCCCCTCCCCCTGCAGCGTGCCTCCCCCGCTCGCCGGCGGGGGGGCGGGCCAGCCTCTTGGGTCTGCGGCGGTGGGATGGATCGTTCCGCGGTCGAGGCGGCGATCGGGCCACCGAAGCAGACGCTGACCGCGCACGAGAAGAGACGCGGAGGGGCCAACAGAGAGGCGGCCGCGGAGAGAGGGAAGAGAGGAGTGGGCACACTGAGAACATGCAATCCTTCGTCTGCACTGCTGGGCAGTGAGAGAAACACGCACGACTGGGACCAGGAACCCAGACATCCGATGATCTGATGTTTGTTCGACGCGCGGCCCCACAGGTCGCGACCCGCTGGCCGGGGCAGCCTCTCGTCTTGGGTCGGTGTGTAACGGCCCTGTGGGACCACCACCGGCCCCAGAAACCAGCACAGAGGAAAAACACCGGGTGACCTCCAAATCCCGGAAGACCTCACCGCACGGTCCGTCGCCGCAGGTTCTGGGACCTCGGGCCCGGTCGCCAGAGACACCCTCCGAGGACCGAGCAGCGCGGAGGCCCAAACCCGTGCGGTCCACCAGAATCCCCACCGACTCGCATCACGGTGTTCGGGAGCGGCCAAGGGGGGGGTGTCCAAGAGGGGGGGGTGCAAATCATGACCGGCGGCATGTGCGCGGCCCAGCGGGGGGGCCGGGGACGTAATGAAATTAGGAGACCGATTTCTGACCACACCCACTTCCCGAGGTGCCTTGCGAAAAGCGGTTTCCAGAGGCGGAGGTGGGCAGTTTCCCCGCCCCAGGGGAAGGAACAACTACCCACTTCCACCCCCGAGGGCCTTTCATAGAATCGAGGATCCAGAGGTGGATGTGGTCAGAAATCGGTCTTCGAGAAATAAGAAGAGGCTCCATGAAATCTGGGGAAATATCATGGCCCCCGCCATGAGATCCACCCCCCCCTAGTCATCACCCCCCTCTTTTCCGCCCCCGAGGTGTGGTCCCCGCACCGTTTGGGGACCCCGGGCAGCGACAGGCGAAGCGAGGACAACGCCGGAGTCGTGCGTGCTCCTCTTGGGGGCCCATCCGCACATACAGTATAATTATAGGGCATGGCGTGGAGGCCGCGGCCTCGCAAATGTGACACGCGGCCGTGGCCGTGGCCTTGCCTGCCGAAGCGGCGGAAGGGGGGAGAAGAAGGGGCGAGACGGACCTTGCATCCAAGAACCCCTTGGACCTGGCTGAAGGCACGGGGCCCAAACGCCTGATCACGCGCTCATGACATCTGAAGTCGCGACAGCGCGATAACGGGGAAAAAAATTGAGCCGGTCGAAGGCCATTCGTGGGCCCCCAGAGCGTCATAATTCACTAGTAGGTCATCGGCGGGTCAAACTCACGAGTTGGCCACTTGTGGACCACCTGCATTCGTGGGCCAGTAGCGGGGCCATCAGTGGGGCCATCAGCGGGGCATCGGCGGGCCCTTGGTAGGGCATTCGCCGGCCATCAGCGGGGCGAGACACAAACACATGTGCCATATGCCCAGTCGCAACTCTCTGCCGCAAATCATGTTGCTCATTATGAGCCGCGTCTTCATGGCAGAGAGGTTGCGGGGGTGGGAGACGCATGACACTCCCTGACAACAGCATTGCCCCGACCTGTGACCGCCGCGATCGCCGCGGCATCCTCCCAAAACCGACCCGTACGCGTGGGCAGGCGTCGGATATCCCGTCGCAAATTATAGAGGCATCCTAGATGGGGTCGGGAGAAAAGAGGGTCGGAAGATCGCGCCGCATCGCAGTCGTGACAACGCGATAACGGAAAAATGGAACGGGAGCTGTTCGAAGACCATTCGTGGGCCATTAGTGCATCAGAATTCACTATAGTAGGTCACCGGTGGGTCGAAGGCACGCATGGGCCACTTGTGGGCCACCTGCATTCGTGGGCCAGTAGCGGGGCCATCAGTGGGGCCATCAGCGGGGCATCGGCGGGCCATTGGTGAGGCATTCACGGGCCATCAGCGGGGCGAGACACAGACACATATGCCATATGCCCAGTCTTAGCTGTGATGAATGCGTGATAACTCGGCCCATCCAAGCAACATCGCTGCCCAGAGTGGACACACATGGACAACTAATTCTCTCTCGCTGCGATGCTAATTATGAGCCGCGTCTACATGGCAAAGAGGTTACGGGGGTGGGGGGCGCATGCCACTCCCTGACAACAGCATTGCCCCGACCTGTGGCCGCCGCGATCGCCGCGGCATCCTCGGATCCCAGGTCGAATCGGATCGGAATCGGAAGCCATCGAAATCGAACCTCGAATCGAACCGAAGGCATCGAGATACGCTCCGAGAGGGCGGTTGCTGGGAGGGGGGGAGGCTTGCACTGGGCCTGCCCCTCCCTCGCCCACCCCACCCAGAGGCCACCCGGACCTCAACGCCACTGGCACCCGCGCTGCGCTCGCACACACACCCCAGTGCGGTGGCGCCCGAGCCCTGCCCCCGCCAGCCACCGATTCCCCCGAATCGGTGGGACGCGACGGGGGGCTGTGGAGTTCGCCATTCGCGCCCGACGAGGTCGCCGAGCCCTGCCCTTCGAGCTGCCCACCGAGCTGCCCGAACTGTTCATCGGCGAGAGCCGGGCTCGGACTTCGCGGCCGAGCCGCCCTCCCCCTCCCCAGCCCCGCGCGGGCGCAAACGGGCCTCCGCGCGGGCTCTGCGGCCGCCCCGCCGGCCCGCCGCTGAGGGGCGCGCTCGGACCCGGGCTCGGACTCGGACTCGAAGTCGGAGGAGTAGGACTCGAACTCGTCGTCGGAGTAGCCCTCGTCCCCCTCCTCGGTGGGGTGGCGCCCGAGAGGCACACGAGAGCCAGGATCAGCCAGAGTTGGTCCCGGGCAGAGGGGGTCTTTCGCAACGGGGCCGCCAACTACAAAATGCAACGGTTCATCCTGTAGCTCATGGCTCGTGGCCTCTCCCACGGACCCACGACGCCAGATGCCACGCCTCCTGCCCGCACCTAGCGCGATGAATCACGAACGATTGCAAGAATGTTGCGTACACCTTTGACCCTGACCTTCCAGAGTGCTAAAAAAACACTCCAAACCTATAGGCCTATCTGGACTGGTTAAAACCCCAACTGGAATTGGGGTATCTAGGTCCATGGTGTTATGTTTAGCCCTCCTGGCAGGTCAGAGGAGACCCCCTTTGCAAAGGACCCCCTAATGCCAGGTCGGAGATGTCCTCCTACAGGCGGCTTCTGGAAGAAACTCAAACGGGCCAGAGGCGTGCTAAGATCTCGGGTAACAAATTAACCATATAACAACTTCGCGCGCGCGAGGCGGCGCCTAGGGGCCCCGACGCGACAAGTACCCCGCCAAGGTCCCGGCAAGTGCCCGTCAGAGATGCCCGAGGCCCCCCAGACGGCCCAAGAGGCGCCCAAGACGGCCTCAAGAGAGCGCCCAGACGGTCCAAGAGCCCCTGGAGTCCTCGAAAGATCGGCCCACGATGCCTAAGATGGCCCCTTGAACGCCCAAAAGGCCGCCAAGACGCCCAAAGAGGCCTCGAAGAAGCGTCTCAAGAGAGCTCCAGGAGGCAAAAACAATCGGATTCCCTTCGGTTGTTGAAGGATTTGGCCGATCTCATCTGTTCGGCTTCCCGGCGCTCAAGGACGGCCCGAGGGGCCCCACATATCGCCCCAAGACGGCCCAAAAGGCCTCCAAGAGAGCCCCAAGAGGGCCCAAGAGGGGCCCAAGACGGCCCAAGAGGCCTCCAAGACGGCCCAAGATATTTCCATGACGGCCCCAAAAGCGGGCCAGACGGGGAACCCGAACGGACATTTCGAGCCATCTGCACCAAGAGGCGCCCAGGAGTCCCCAAGAAGCCCACACGAGCAAGACTCCCAACAGGCCCCCAGGAAACCCGAAGAGGCTCCCAAGAAACCCCCAAGAGGCTCCCCAGAGTCTTCCTCCGAAGAGGCCCCGAGAAGCATCCATGAGGACTTCGACCCACAACCCTGGTACGTCTCGAAACCTTTTTTAGAGCTCTCCTGAGCCATCTTGGCGCTCTCTGGGGCGGGGCAGTCTAACGGCTCCCTTTGACAGGGCGCGAGCCACATCTCCAAAGATCTTCTCGAAGATCGTACTGCCCTCCCCCTGGGCACGAGCACGCCACCACGTAGCCACAGTGATGCAAAATGGACCGGCGGAGTGAGCGAAGCTATTTAATAAACTATTCAAAAATAGCCAGAAATGGCCCATCATCGTCCGCAAAATATGCTTTGACTACGTTTGAAGATTCCTCCTGTAGAGTGACATGCCCGACGTGAGCCTGGTGACGCCTCCTCGGCGACTGGTGCAGCAACGCTGGGACGTCCGCGGACAGTTTCTTCCCTGGCGCGGTGCCCCCTCCCACACTCTGGGGGGCACGCCTGGTGCGATCGGAGAGGGGGGTGCGGGGAGGGGATCGAGCGCCAGCGGGGAAGCCGTCCGCGGAGATCCAAGAATGGAGGCACGTGCTTCTGGGTACTGTTCCCGCTCCTCCTCGCCCATCGCCGTCGCCCTGGGATCTGAGGTGAGCCGAAGGGCAGGGGCTGGCCCGGGGAGAGACAACAGCAACAAAGTCAACGGCACATCGGCGATAGATCGGCGATGGCAAAACCAGACGTTCCTGCCCAAGGCGTCTCACCATGCGCAATCCCCCCTTTCGGCGCCCTGACGGAAGACCCCGATATCCGACGTCGTGGCACAATCGCGACGCCGTGAAGAACTCACAACTCAAATTCCTGACCCCACCTCTTTGCGTCGTTCGCCGAACCAGATCGACGCTACAAAGGGCGGGGGTGGGTCCTAGAAGTCCCCCTGCCACCTAGGAGGTTTTTCCAGACAGCTCTGGTCCCTTCCGAGCCCCCTTGGCTTTTGGACAACCACCCATCCACCCCCATCCCCTGCTGCTGACCACAGCCCCGATTTCGGGGATAGGAAAAGAGCGCAACGATGAAAGCAACGCTCCGAGGTCGCAGGCTTGTTTGTGGGAGTGAGGGGGGACAGGTGGGTAGCGAAAAAAAGGGAGGGAAGCCGGTGCGTTCAGCCAGTTCCCCTGGCGCCCGTAGCGGCCGAGGGGCGTGCGAAACGGTTACGGTCAACAACCGCCTGCGCGCGGCAGGTCTCGTCCTGGCATCGCTCGGACGTCCATTCCCTGTGTTTTGTTCGGTTTCGCGCGTGGCTTCTTCGCCAAATGATCAAGGATGCTCTTCGATGGCCCTCGCCGAACGAAACATGCACACGTCCGAGCGATGCCAAGTCTTAGCCCCCCAGCCTTTTTCACCCGACCTTCGCGTCCGCATCCCAAACAGATGCCCCGTGCGCCAGCGCGCGCTCCGAACTCGACCCCCAGAAGGGGGGCCCACTCGTGGCCACGAGGTCCCCCCAGGTGGTTCCCAAAAAGGCACCAGCAAGAAACTGGGACCCCCCCCCCAATGAACAACATCCCCCTCCTCCTCCTCCCTCCTCCTCCTCCTCCTCCTCCTCCTCCTCCTCCTCCTCCTCCTCCTCCTCCTCCTCCTCCTCCTCCTCCTCTTGCCCCTCACCCTTCACGCCCTCGTTCCGTTTGCCCCGGAGCCCCGGGGCAAACTTTCCCGTCGGGCCCCTCGCCCTCACTTCGCCTGCGCGAGCAAATCTCCCCCGCCTGCCCCGAGAGATCCTCCGCAGTCTTCCCTGTTTTCCCCCTCTCTTTCGCGGCGCCGCCGGGTGACCCCGACCCGCGCCGCCGCGCCGCCGCGAGCGCCGCGGGCGGAAGGCGCAGGGGCCCCCCGGTCCACCCAGGGGGGCCCCTGCGCCTTCCGCTCCCCCGGGAGTGCAGGGGGGGGAGGGGAGAGGCCACTTGCCCGTCCGCTATCCTGCTGCCCATCGAGGGAGGAGAGTGACGGGGAGAAGCGGCCGGGCCGAGCCGCTCGATGATGCCTACCAGACTGGATTGAAAAGACGTAGCATCTCGTGCGTAGTACTTGTAAACCCTTGTCCGTAACGCTGTAGTTGGTAATCTTCTCCGGCTTCAGGCAGCCCCGCGTCGCCGATTGTTTCATGGCACCATCTGGTTGCGGGCCATGTCGAAGGCCACCTCGACGCCAAGGATAGACCCGGAGTGAAAGGCCGCACTGGGCTGCATTCGGAAACAGCCAGGTCGAGCAAATTTCGGCACACCATGTCGATATGCAGCAGGTCTTGATATATGTATTCGTGAGCTGCCTGCCGGGACGCAAGCCACAGCGCTTGTTTGGTCGTTCGACCTACGGACTCAAGGAAGGTTGCCCTGCCCCAGGTTTCCTCCGAGCCTGCTTTGGATACTCAGCGGCCTCCTGCCTCATCATAAGGTCCGGGAGTGCCCTCCCGCCAGTTGAGCAGCGGGCGAGATTTGATGCCGACGAAGCGCGCGGCCACGCCGGCATCTTTCTGCAACCCAGCGCTGCCAGCTGAAGCCCTGCACCTCCTGGTGGTCGTCGTAACTCAGCTGGATGCCCTCGAGGCTCTGCGTGTGGCCCTCGAAGCTGTGCCTGTGGCCCTCGTAGTTGAGTTGGTGGCCCTCGTAGGTCTGTCGAAGGCTCTGGTAGATCAGCAAGTGGCCTGGGTAGCTCCGCCAGTGTTTCCCGTGGCACAGATTGTGGTCCTCGTAGCCCTGCGTGTCCTCATAGCACAGCCTGTGGTCGTCGTAGCTCAGCTGGTTGCCCTTGACGCTCTGCTGGTGGCGTTTGTAGCTCAGCAGGCGGTCCTCGTTTCTCTGCTTGCGGTCCACATAATTAAATCTGCGGTCCTGGGCTCAGCCGGAGGTCCTGGTAGTTGTGCAGGTGGTTCTGCTACCTTTGCAGGTGGCCCTGGTGCCTCTCCTGGCGTCTCTCGTGGCTCAACTGGAGATCCTCGTAGCCGTGTTTGCGGCTCTCGTAGCTGCGCTTCTGGCCCTCGTATTTAAGCTGGTGGGTGGCCCTCGGATGTATGTTGTAAGCTCTACTAGCTCAGCAAAATGGCCTGGGTAGCTATGCCAGTGGCTCATGAAGCTCTTGTCGTGGTCCTCGTAGCCTGGCTTGTGGCCCTCATAGTTCAGACCGCAGCCCTCGTAGCTGAGAGAGTTGCCCTTCTACCTCTGCTAGTGGGCCTTGTAGCTCAGCATCAGGCCCTGGTGCATCTCCTGGTGCTTCACGTGGCTCACATGGGTGCCCTCGTAGTCGTGCTGTGCTTATGGACCCTGTAGCTGTGCTTGTGGTCCTCGTAGTTCAGCTTGAGGCCCTCGTAGGTCTGTTGGAAGCTCCAGTAGCTCAGCAGGTGGCCTGGGTAGCTCTTCCAATGGCTGCCGTAGCTTAAGTGTCCAGGTGCCTCTCGTGGCTCAGATGGAGGTCCTCGTAGTTCAGCCGGTGCCCCTCGCAGATCTGCTGGAAGCTCTGGTAGCTCAGCGGGTGGCCCAGGTAGTTCAGCTAGTGGCTCCCGTAGCTGAGGTCGTGGTCGTAGTAGCCCTGCTGTTGGTCCTCGCAGGTCAGCTCGAGGCCCTCTTAGTTGAGCCAATTGCCTTTTTGTCGCCCTGCTGGTGGTACCAATTGCTCAGCACGTGGCTGTTGCCCCCCTCCTGGGGCCTCGCGTGGCTCAACCGGAGATCCTCGTACTCGTGCCTTGTGACCCGTGTCGCCGTGCTTGTGTCCCTGGTAGTTCAGCTGGCGGGCCGTGCAGATCCTCCGCCTCCTCCTCCGCGCTCTCCCTCGCCCACCCTCCTCCTCCTCCTCCTCCTCCTCCTCCTCCTCCTCCTCCTCCTCCTCCTCCTCCTCCTCCTCCCCCTACGTACTCATCCTCTTCCTCCTCCCTTCACCGACCCTCCTCCCCGTCCTCCTCCCTCGCCTCCCCCTCCCTTCCTCCTCCTCCTCCTCCTCCTCCTCCTCATCCTCCTCCTCCTGCTCATCCTCCACCTTCTACTCATCATCATCATCATCATCATCATCATCATCATCATCATCATCATCATCATCATCATCATCATCATCATCATCATCATCATCAGCATCATCATCATCATCATCATCATCACCATCAGCAGCAGCATCATCACCATCATCATCACCATCATCCTCATCCTCATCATCAGCATCCTCTCCTTCTTCTTCTGATTATTATTGTTGTTCCTCCTTCTCTTCCTCCTTCTCTTCCTCCTCTCCATCTCCGCCTCCTCCTTTGTTCCTTATGTGTTCGTACATGTGTCTCATGTCCCTTCTGATTCGTCTTCGTCCTTCTCTTTCTCCTTCTCCTCCGCCTCCTCCTCCTTCTCCTTCTCCCCCTCCTCCTCCTCATCCTTCTCCTCCTCCTCCTCGTACTCCTCCTCCTCCTCCTCCTCCTCGTGCTCCTCCTCCTCTTTTTCCTGTTTCGTCTTCGTGTTATCATTCGTATCTTCTTGTTTAAACAAAGTGTGACGACTAGTAGTTCCTGTCTAATTCCTAATGTTTGTCTTATGACTAGTATTATGTATATGATGCTTACTGTTAGTATTAGTTGCATTAGTCTCGTTCGTCGTCTTACCAGTGTCTTCGTAGTAATAATACTACGTGTATGGTTACAGTGTTCCTTATGGTTACTATCAATCCTCATATTATTTGGATGATTGTGTTTGTTCTTATTATTACTATTCCTATTCATCCAACTTCTCTTCCTCCACCTCCTCCGCCTCTGCCCCCGCCTCCACCTCTGCCACCGCCTCCGCCTTCGCATCTGCCTCCGCCTCCGCCTCTGCATCGCCTCCTCCTCCGCCTCCGCCTCCGCCTCCACCTCCTCCTCCTCCTCCTCCTTGTCGTTATCCTCCTCCTTTTTGAGTTGGGAAGACCGCACGCTTACGCGTATTGCGTTCTCTCTCCTCCTCCTCCTCCTCCCTCCTCCTCCTCCTCCTCCTCCTCCTCCTCCTCCTCCTCTCTCCCTCCTCCTGCTCCTTCTTCTCCTCCTCCGCCTCCTCCTCCTCCCCTCCTCCCTCTCCTCCTTCTCCACCTCCTCCTCCTCCTCCTCCTCCTCCTCCTCCTCCTCCTCATCCTCCTCTCTGCCCTCCTTCCCTCTTTTCGCGTTGGGCAAGCATGAGCGACATGAACGTTCATCTCTTCTTCCTCCCCCCATATCCCCCCCTTCCTCCTCTTCCCCCTTCTCCCCCGCCCCTACCCCCACCTCCTGCCATTCCTGGTTGCTTCTCCTCGCCGCCCCCATGGAGAAACCACCAAGTACCGATACCACTACTCCCCGTGCCTCTCCCCGGGTGCGTTCTGACCAGGATTTCGATGCGAGACCGGCGGTGGCGACGAGGGCCCCAGGCCCCAAAGCGGGGAAACACGGACGGGGCGGGTGTGTTTGTCCTCCCTTGACGAAAGTGGCCCCAGTACACACAAATAAATACACACACATAAATATGTTCCCCATACTTTCTTATATTTTTGGGGCTTTCGTCTTCCCCTCCACTGCCCATATTTTCCTATCTTTTCTGTGGATTCGACGATTCATTGTGTCTGTGTTTTTTTCCCCTCCTCGTTGACCCTTCCTCCCCTCGCTCCTCAGGGCCCCCCACCCCTCGCCAACCCCGACGGGCCACGACGTCGGAGCTCTGGGCAGGCCCCGCCCCCCCCGCGCCGCGCGGGCCGCGCCGAAGCGGGCCGAGACGGCTCCGCTCGCGCGGGGCCCCATCGGCGAGGGAGGCGCTCCTCGGCGGAGGGCGAGGGTCGAGGACGAGGCAGGCGCGGCCCCGCGCACTCGCACGAGGGAGGCCCCGCCTCTGCCCCCCTGCTCCCGCTGCTTCTGCTGCTGCTGCTGCCTCGGCGAGGGAGGTACTCCTCGGCGGAGGGCGAGGACGAGGACGAGGCAGGGGGAGGGGAAGGGGGGGGGCGGAGAGGGAGGAGGAGAAGAATCCGGATCTGCCTCGCTCCGCTCAGCCCAGCACGGAGCGATGGCAGGCGGCCGCGCACTCGCATGAGGGAGGCCCCGCCTCTACCCCCTGCTCCCGCTGCTTTTGCTGCTCCTGCTGCTGCTGCTGCTGCTGCCCTCCATTGCGCTACACTTACCAGCCTCGAACTGATTCCTATTCCTAAGATTGACACGCCAAAAGGCGATGACAATCCTAGGGATTCGCCCTCAAACAATAAGGGAATCCCTAAAATTGGCATCGTGATGAGGAGATGCCCAGAATAGGGATAGGGATATGTTCCAGGCTGGCAATACACGGCTGGAGGGCTGCCCCCTGGAGAAACTCCATGGACTCAGGGTGGGAGGGGGGAGCTGCCCGGGAGGGAGGGAGGGAGGGGAGCAGTCGACCAGTACGGGATACCACCCTGGGGTCCCAGGAAGCGCCCCCCCCCCCAGAAGGCCCCAGGAGGGTCCCAGGAGGGTCCCAGGACGAGGTCCCAGGACGAGGTCCCAAGACGAGGTCCCAGGATGCTCCGGGAGGCGAGGGCACTGGAGGTTCTAGGAGGCCACAAACTGGTACCCCCTCCTGGCGGATCCGACGGGAGAGGAAGGCCGGGAAAGGGAACCTGCCCGAGAGGGGGGCGTCCAGGCGTCAGGGCCACAGACCAGCGCCTCTCGCGTCGAGCGACCAAGCTGCTTGATACAGTGCGGGCGTGGCCTCGCCATCGCTCGGACTTCCATTCCCTGTGCTTTCTTGGTTTCGTGCGTGTTTTTTATTCGCCAATTGATCAAGGATGCTCCTCGATGGTCCTCGCCGAAGGAAAAATGCACACGTCCGAGCGATGCCAAGCGGCCGCAAGAAACCCTCACGAGAAACACAGCCCTGAAAACCCGCGCGCGAGGTGCATCGGAAGGGAAAAACCCGGAGCACCTGGCACGGCAGCAGCTCCTTCAGCGGCCGGGGGAAGTCGCCGCGCCGCGCGCGGAGCGAAGAAGCCCACGGTACCCCGACGAAGCGAGTATGGCTTCTTGATGCCCGCATGCCCTGTCTCCCTAATTAAAGCTGTGCGTAGCCCGCCTAGCTTTAAGGTTCGCTCTCGCCCCGCAGACCAACAAAAAAAGAGTATGGCGTCTTGATGCGCGCCGCCCGTGTGCTTGATCGTCGGGCTCCTCGGGTTCACCGTTCCAGGCTGTTCCTGCCTGTGGGGTCGCGGCGCGCCGCGCGGCCATCACGCGCGCGCGCACGCGCGCCTCCCACGGGCCCCTCCGAGGTCCGCGCGCGGGCCCGCTTCCTCCTCCTCGTCTTCTTCCCCCTCCATTTCCTCCTCCTCCTCCTTCTTCGTCCTCCTCCTACTCCACAACTCCACGAAGATATCCGGCCACCCTCCGCGCACTGTTGTTTACACGTTGGATTCCAGGAACATGAGTTGTTGCTATGGGCGTTGTTGCAAAATGTTGCTCCCGCTGAAGCGCTGGCCCCATTTCTGCGCCTCTGGTTGTTCCAAATCGTGCCCCCGCTACAGCGCGGGCGTTTCCTGTTCTTTCCAATCGGCCCCCAAATCTAAAAAGTGCCCCGCTGAAACAACCATCGGAAGTGATTACATATTCGGTGCCGATTCGTTGATTGTTTGGGTCGCAGAAGCTCCCCTCCTTTGGGGTATCGTCGTCTTCCGGAAATATCAAGCGGGAGCCCCGTTTCTGGTTTGAGAAGGCGATGATATGAGCAGCGTCAGCGGGTGCTCTCCATCAGCCCCGCTTGTGTAACTAGAGCTTTTCAGGGAGCTCAAAGAGCGAGACATGGAGCCACGACTCCAGACCGGCCCGGACCTCGAAGACGATCAACCTATCCTCCAAGGAACCCAGCGCCATGCCATGACATGCTGTGCGGCGTTGTGTTCTGCGCCGCTGTGCGATGCCATGCATTGCGTTGCAATGCTTTGTGATGCAATGCTTCACTGCGCAATGCACCGCCATGCTCTGGCATGCTACGCTCTGCCGTGCTCTTCTACGCCATTCCATGACGAGCTCTACCATGCGTCGCTCACCCTCTCGCGATCACAGCCCTGCTCGACATCGGACTGTGCGCATAGTGAGGATATCTACGCCATGGTAAGGGATGGGAGGGAGGGGCAGGACGTCAGACATGACGCGAGCGCACCCAGCTTGTCTCCTCCCCCTCCTCCTCTCTCACTTCCTTCTCTCTCCTCCTCCTCCTCCCTCCTCCTCCTCCCGCTCCTCCTCCTCCTCCTCCTCCTCGTCCTCGTCCTCTCCCCTCCTCCTCCCCCTCTCCCTCTCCTCCTCCCTCCTCCCTCCTCCCTGAAGCCCTCCCCTCCCTCCTCCCTCCTCCCTCCTCCTCCTCCCTCCTCCCTGCTCCTCCTCTCTCCCTCCTCCTCCTCTCCTCCCTCCTCCTCCTCCTCCTCCTCTCCTTCCCTCCTCCCTCCTCCCTCCTCCCTCCTCCCTCCTCCTCTCCTCCTCCTCCTCCCCTCCTCCCTCCTCCCTCCTCCTCCTCCTCCTCCTCCTCCTCCTCCTCCCTCCTCCTCCCTCCTCCCTCTTCCTCCCTCTGCTCCCTCCTCTCCCTCCTCCTCCCCTCCTCCCTCCTCCCCCTCCTCCTCCCTCCTCCTCCATCCTCCTCCTCCTCCCCCCTCCTCCCCCTCCTCCCTCCTCCCCTCCCTCCTCCCTCCTCCCCCTCCCTCCCTCCCTCCCTCCCTCCTCCTCCTCCTCCTCCTCCTCCTCCTCCTCCTTCCTCCTCCCTCCTCCTCCTCCTCCTCCTCCCTCCCTCCTCCTCCTCTCCTCCTCCTCCTCCTCCTCCTCCTCCTCCTCCTCCTCCTCCTCCTCCTCCTCCTCCTCCTCCTCCTCCTCCTCCTCCTCCTCCTCCGCCTCCTCCTCCTCCTCCTCCTCCTCCTCCTCCTCCTCCTCCTCCTCCTCCTCCTCCTCCTCCTCCTCCCCTCCTCCTCCTCCTCCTCCTCCTCCTCCTCCTCCTCCTCCTCCTCCTCCTCCTCCTCCTCCTCCTCCTCCTCCTCCTCCTCCTCCTCCTCCTCCTCCTCCTCCTCCTCCTCCTCCTACCTCCTCCTCCTCCTCCTCCTCCTCCTCCTCCTCCCGCCTCCTCCTCCTCCTCCCCCCCGCGGACGGCCGAGGCGCGGGGGGGCGGCAGGGCACGCGACGTAGCGGTCCGCGTTCTCGGGGGGCCAGGCGCCCCACTCCTCGCGGGGGCGCCGGCGGGCTCCAGAGGCCAGGGGCCTGCCAGATTTGAGCAGGGACCGACCGTCCCGGCATTCCTATAGCCCTACCACGACATGTTCTTAGAACCCAAAAATGTTCTAAGACTCTAAGAACAAAAGCAATGTTATTAGAACATTCACCCGATGTGTTAAACAAGACAGACTCCGCCAGCAGTGTTCTAAGAACATTTCGTGGGAACCACAAAAAGGTTATTATTACATTGTTTGGTAGAGCCATAAGCACGCCGGTACGCTTCGCCACTGCTTGACAGATGGCTTAGCGACCTGAAGCCGCGGCTTACAGCCGCACCTAGGCAAGAAGAGCATCCCTCAAGAACACGAGAACCCCCGCCGGCCAAACACACACACACACAGAACATGCAAGGGCACTCTCCCCAGGATGCACAGGAGCATCCAACAAACACGGAGATTACCAGGGCACCCTCCCCGAACCCCGAGCCGACCTCGATCTTAGACCTCGGGGCCGCCAGCGGGGCACAACACGTGGAAACGAGGGCGCCGAGGCGCTACCTTACGCGGGAAGCTTACGCGCGACAGTCGGCGCAGACGGCCCCGTCTTCTCCGTCGCCCAAACGGGGTCCGAGCAGATGGGGTCGGAGGATCGAGCCGCATCGCCGATGCATGGCCGATGCATCGCCGACGCATCGGTATCGGTGACGCCGGCGGTGCGTCGGCGACGCGCGCGGGGAGAAAATCGGGCTGCACATCGTGCCACATCGCCGATGCATCGGCGATGCTGCGCGATCCTCCGACTGCATCTGCTCGGACCCCATCTGGGAGGCCCAGGGAGGCGGAGGAGGATGGGGGCAGCTTCAGGAGGTCTTAGTCGGGGAACAGGAGGCGACCAAAACAACATCGATGGCACGCCGGTGGGGGGGGGTCTCCCTGCGCACGCCAACAAAACTCAGAGCACCGAATCCAGTTGAGTACTGGTTGTGGTCGATGTGGGCGTTCCAAGACGGCCATATCGACCACAGCCACAATCAACGAATGCATGTTGAGGTCGGTGGGCTCCTGCCCGACGGGCCCTCAAGAACAGAAGCAACTTAGGTATGGTCGTGGTGGAACGTTGATGGGCCCAGACTTCGTAGAAACGGCTAAGATATGCACACCCTTGTCAATGAATTACAAACCGCATACAGAGGGCAGTATCGAACGTTGTATACATCTAGTCAGACACATCATACATATCTATAAAGTAGGCGTATCATCAATCTAAACACATGCTTGTATCCATAACTATGTGTATACACACATACCTGGATACTTGTATACAGAGATGCATCAGTCTGTGAATATATAACATTTGAGTACGGTCATGTGTATTCAACTAGTTGCATAGATCTGTGTATATATGATCGCGGGATCCGGGTCCTCGGCCCCCCCCCCCAGATGGGATGGGTCCCAGGGTCCTCGGACCCCCCCCCAGATGGGATGGGGGGGGAAAGGAGGAGGAGGAGGAGGAGGAGGAGGAGGAGGAGGAGAAGGACGACGACGACGAAAGCAATGACGACGACGGCGACGACGA